CTCGCTCACACACACACACTCCACACACACACACACACACACACACACACATAGATGAATGAATTTTTCTGCATATATAAGAATGAGTCTGTATTTAAAGAAAACAACCAGATAGTTCACATGTGTGGCTTTATCGGCAAAGCTATGTTTTGAGAATAGCTGTCAGACAATTCAGGGTCTTAACAGGATGGAGGCATTAGATGAGTGGACTGATGGGGTGATTGGGTTTTTATTCCACCGATCCCTGTCCTGAATACTGTAATTTATTTTGTACTGTAGGCATGAATACATAAGTGGCTACTACAGAGTGTCTGCATATTTCTTCTCAAAGATAATAGCTGACATGATACCCATGAGGACTTTACCTGGAATCATCTTCACCTGTTTAAATTATTTCATAATAGGCAAGTATCCCACCAAAGTAATCCTTCTCCTACCTCCCTGTGATTTCCCTGTGACTGTGACTTCCCTTCTCTTTTCCCCATCCCTGCTCTCTATTTGATATGTTACTTCTGAATCAGTGGATCATATAGCTCTCATCTGATCTAGCTGATCTGATCCAGTCATATAGCTTTGATCTGATCTGATCCAGCTGTAGTGTAGAGGTTGAGCGGTGGACTCTGATCTGGAGAACTGGGTTTGATCCCCCGCATGCAGCCAGCTGGGTGACCTTGGGTCAGTTACAGTTCTTCCAGAGCTCTCTCAGCCCCACCTACCTCACAGGATGTCTGTTGTGGGGAAGGGAAGGGAAAAGGGATTGTAAGCCGCTCTGAGACTCGTTCGGGTAGTAATGAACGGGGTATAAAACTGTTGTGTATTAAGATCTGTATGCGCTTGAGTACTGAGACAGGGTTGTAAATAGACCAATCAGAGCTGCACGATGTTCTGGAGGGAAGCACTCTGATTGGACATCTGTAAATAATGATTGGTTAATATCTGACTTGTGGGCGTGGCTACCCAAGCCCGGACTGTTTAAAAGAGAGCCTGTTGCTCTATGTTTTTGTCTTGTTCTGATTTCTTCTGACTTCGTTAATAATGCTGATTCACTGTTCACTAGCTGTGTTGAGTCTCGTACTTAACAAGCGGTGATATCAACAAGGCAAATGCTGCTGTCATAGGAAGCTCTGATAGCCACAACGCAGTGTGATGAAAGTTACTCCAGCCCGAGCACAGGGGCTAACCCGGAATTGCTTTGCCAATGTGTAACAACACATACCAAACATATACAAATAAATCTGCCATTATGAATTATGTTTTTTCCTCATTTTTTCAGGATTCAAGCCTACTGCACAAGCCTTCTTCATCATGATGATCACCCTCATATTGATCGCCTATGCAGCCAGTTCACTCTCTCTAGCGATCGCAACGGGACAGAGCGTCTCATCGGTTGCCAACCTCCTCATCAACATTTGCTTTGTTTTTATGATTGTGAGTGCCGGGCCGCTCCTGCCTGTAAAATGTTTCCTTCCAAGAGTGTCTTCTTGCAAGGCTAGGGATGTAGCCTTGGTTTTGCCACGTCTTAATGGGGTTCCATCCTCAAGGACGGACTGGCCATTTAACTTCCTGGCAAAGTTCCCAGTGGGCCACTGCCCTGGAGGGCCACTGGCCACCAGGGACAAGCAGAGCTAAGCCCAAGCAGCTCCACCAGCACCCCAGGACCACTAGTCTTGGACCCTTCAGTGGCAGCAATGGAGAGCCAGTGTGGTGTAGTTTTACCTTTATATCGCACATGACAGATTAATGTTGGGGATGAACCAGTCTCCCACTGCACCGGTAGCAGGCTCCTCTTTAAAGCATTTGTGGCCAGTATGGTGTAGTGGTTAGAGCATCAGGCTAGTAGCTGGGAAACCCAGGTTTGAATCCCCACTCTGCTGGGTCAGCCTGGGCCAGACACACTCTCTTGGCTTGACTTACCATGCAGGGTGTTTGTTGTAAGAGTAAAATGGAGGAGGCAAAAGCCATGTTGTAAGACGCTTTTGATCCCTGTGAGAGAGAAAAGCAGGGTAAAAATGTCTAAATAAATTCGAGCATTGCAGGATTGGGGTTGAAAGCAGTGTCCCCTCTCAGCTAGCTCACAGTTTTTTAGTCTCCGGCTCACACATTTTTGTCTTAGCTCAGGAAGGAGGGCTCCAGAGCAGACTAATTTATGCAGTAGTCAAATCGCTCGCTCACAACTTTAATGCCAGTAGCTCGCAAAGTAGAATTTTTGCTCACAAGACTCCACAGCTTAGAGGGAGCATTGAAGGGCAATAAAAAGGCTCTGCTGTACTTCAGAAAGTAGCTGCATGCGTGCTTCTGGGCCGTGGGGATCTTCTGCACATGCAGAGTGTCCTAGAATTCACCCTTGACAAACATAAAAGTCGGATCCAGAAGTGAATGTTTCATGGTCATCTAAATGAATCCTGGGTGTACTGCATTCTAAGGTTCTTTAGGGTCCTGAACAAAATTCTGTCTCCTGTAGAGTTCTGCTTCCCCCCCGCTTTTTTCTGTGTTTGCAGCTTTTCTCTGGCTTGTTGGTAAATATCACGACCATTTCTCCCTGGCTGCTGTGGCTGCAGTACTTCAGTATCACTCGGTACGGGTTGAACGTAAGTATTAATTCAATTATTTATTTAGAATATCTATTAGCCTCCTCTCTACTTTACCGAGAATGTAAATAATAATAAAATACGGTAAAATACATCAAAAACCCAAATTAAAATCAATAATTTAATACTGCCTGTAGGCAGAAGAACTATAATCAAATGCCATCGTGAATAAAACCTTCTTCAGCAGCCTCCAAAAGACAGCGGGAGAGGAACCAGGCGCACCTCCCTGGAGAGGTGTTTCCATAACCTCATGTGCCCCTCAGATGAGTTTCTTTGATTGATGAGACAGTCAGGAAGATCTCTCCCTGTGATCTTAGTTCCCAGGCAGGAACACATGGGAGAAGGAGGACCTTCAGATACCTGGTCCCAAGCAATGTCCCAAGTCTGGTCCCATGTATTAAAAGACCCCCTCCACCCCCCAAAAAAAGTTTTGAAAGAAATAACCACTCTGGAACTTTCCACCAAACTGTATCTGATCTGCAGCACCATATCACGGGGAGGGAAAGGCTTTCCCCTTCCTCAGTGGCCGCAGCCAGGGACTCAGGTGTTGCCATCTTCAAGGAACTTCTCAGGCAGGCTGCAAGCCAACCCTGTAGCAGGGCTTCACTCTCGCTTCTTATGAATGGAACGTCATCCGTGTATGCCATTCTCAACGTGTCCGCATTTGTGGATACTGAAATCTACAGATTGGGGCCATGTAGAAAGAAAGCTAATACTTCTACAAACTTGGGGGGACCCTCAAGTTTGCAGAAAAACACAAAACGTTTTTTTAAAAAAATGGAAGAGGGTTAAGTACCCTCCAGATCTCTGCTGGCCCAGCTTCTTCGATCCACCCTCTTCACAGATGGATGGACACACCTGGCAGATGCTGCTGCAGGCTGGCACGTGGGCTGAGGAGGGCAAGAGGGACTCAACACTGCCCCTCCAGTCATCTCAGCTACAGAGGTGGTGGGGTGCCAGTGGGCATCATCCCCCCTCGCCACCCCAGGAGTTGTGGAAGCAGCAGTGATGTGGATGGGGAAGGAGTTGGGAGCAGAAGACTCCATGGTTGCTTGAACCACAGAAGCAGTGGCAAGGCAGCTAGGTGGCGGAGGACTGAAAGCCCGTGAGTGGGCAGACTGGAGAGCCAGCTGTGGGGGGGGGGCAGGAGGATAGGAGTCTCTCCTACCAGTCTGGCAGGTCCCTACTTGTATTCCATAAAAAGACACTCTGACCTCTTATGCAACGGTGCCTCGCAGGCCCCCGGAGCATGTGAAAATTCATGCTGGATCAGACCAATCTAGTCTGGTATCTTGTTTTCCACATGGGTCAACAAGCTCCCCCGGAAGAAGGGGTGTAGAGGCTAAAGGCTCCTCCCATTTTTGCTTCCTCCACAGGTAGCATTAAGAGGTATAGTGCTACTAAGCATGGAGGTTCCATTCAGCCATCAAGGCTTTATAGCGGTTGATGGGTGTATCCTATTAAAGCCATCTGTGGAGGTCACCTCTACATCTTATTGCCGTGAATGGCTGGGCAGCCTGCTTTGCAGTGAAGGTTGTCTGGTACAACTGTTAATTTCCTACAGAGGAGCCTCTGATAGGAATCTCCAGTTTGAGGGGAAGTGAACCAGGGCTTTAAGGCAGTGTGAATCTGAACCGGTTAAACACTGACCCCTAGAGGTCCCTGTCATGAACTGCAAGCACTAGATCTTGACCTCAAATTCCATTGGTTGATATGTGTTATTATTACTTATTTCCTGGATGGTACTACATCAGAGTTGTGATTTATTTAGACATCATACGGTTCAAAAATAAATCAATGAAGGTTAAAGATTTACAAACACCAGTTTGCCACAAGGTATAGATAGGGACTCTGGGGCAAGTGAGGCTCTGTCTTCTTGGTGCTTGGAGGGGTCAACAGTGGGAGGGCTTCTAGTGCCCTGGCTCCACTGCTGGACCTCCTGATGGCACCTGGTATTTTTGGCCACTGTGTGACACAGAGTGTTGGACTGGATGGGCCTTTGGCCTGATCCAACATTGGCATCTCTTATGTTCTTATTATATTAGTGATGAATGGGGGCATATAAATAACACAAGGAGAGCCCTGCTGGATCAGAGCATTGGTCCATCTAGTGCAGCATCCCGTTTCACACAGCAGGCAACTAGTGGCCCTGGAATGCCAACAAACAGGGCATGAAAGCTAAACTAAGGCCTTCCCCTGCCACCAGCACTGACATTCAGAGATTTACTGGTTCTAGATGGAGAGGTCCCCTTTAGTCTACATGGCTAGTAGCTATTGGTAGACTTGTCCTCCACGAATCTCTCTAATGCCCTTTAAAATCCATCTACATTTGGGACATCCACTATCTCCTCTGTATGTGAATTCCACAATTTAATTATTGCCTGAGTCAAGAAGTACTTCCCTTTGTCAGTCCTGAGTCTCTTTCCCGTCCAGTTAATTGGGCACCCCTAAGTTCTAGCATTATGGGAGAGGGACAGTAATTTTATAAACCTCTATCATGTCCACCCCTGAAAAGGCCCAGACTCTTTCACCTTTCCTTCTAGAAAAGGTGCTCCAACCCCGTAATCCATTTTGGTTGCCCCTTTTCTGCATTTCCCCCAACTCTTCTGTAATATCAAAGCAGGTTGTTCAACACTGAAGAGAAGCAGAGAGAGTTGCTCTCAGAAATAAAAACTAAGTTTCCAGAGTGTTTGAGCCGAATTATGTGTTCTAATTGAAAATTTTTCCAAAGATGTTCTTAAGACAGCAGCTCTTGAGCTGTACTGTTGCAGTCATGGCGGCTGTTAAGACACTGGGTGATTTGAATACAGGATCTCCTGTAGCCAAGGAATATTCAGAGAGGGTTCCCCGGCATATGTTGCTTTGTGCTTGAACCTGAAAAGCAGAGTGTGCAGATATAACCAAGTGATTTGGTTTTTCTGTCTCCAAAGGTTTTGCAGATTCATTGAGCCTAGCCTCCTCGCATGCATGTAAACACAAGCAAGTAATTCAGTTTGTCTCTCTCCAAAGGCTTTGCAAATCAATGAGTTCACTGGTCTGACGTTTTGCAAGGATTCCACACATGGGCTTAATGTGACCTGTCTCACTCCTAGTCCATTTACGATGTAAGTGTTCATCCCACTGCCTAGTAAGCTAAAAACTGAAATCTGGATGTCTTTTAATTTTTTTTCTCGTAGCTATGATCTCCGCATATTTTTTTGAAACATTTCTTTCCTGCCTTCCCCCGTGGTTCAAGGTAGCTTACAGTAATAGTCAAGATCATTTTCAGTTAAAGACAAAGAATAACAAATCAAACCAAGGGTTGTGCATTCTTAGTAATGGATTTTTTTTTTAAAAAAAACCTTCTTGTTATAGATGCACGGGAGAAGAATATCTGAGGATACAAGGCATCAGCATAACTCCTTGGGGCATCTGGCAGAACTACGTGGCTCTCCTATGCATGACAGTCATTTTCCTCGCCATTGCCTACACAAAGTTGAGACTTCTAAAAAAATATACTTGAGCAAGTAAGGAAAACGTCCCTAACTCGGCACTATATTGTACTTTTATAGTAAACATGTAATCTCTGTATAGTATTGAGTGTTTTGTTTGACTGAAGCACCCCAAGTTCACTTCCAGCAATTTCTGTTGGAATTACATTTGCTACCAAAGATACCGGTTTCATAGGCGTATTTAAGGTCTCATTCTTACAAACAGCACAGAAGGCAATGGATCTGTGTCCTCCTGCCTGTATGATTTTTGGACTTACAGGGTGGAATGCGCCTCCCAAACCAGGAGAGACTGGGTTTCTTTCATTTATGAAACTAAGAGATTGAAGGTTTTTCCTACTGACAAGTTTTCTGTTTACATGGTGGGTTTTGTTTTGTCTGTGCATGTGCATTTGTGTGTGTGTAGGTATGAGAGAACATTCAGTCATGCAAGTCCTTACCTGTAGCCTGAAGTGATGCAAGCCAGACACACATTTTCACCACTTCATCCGTCATATTTAAGGAGTAAAAATGGTCTTCTCTGAGGAGGCAGCTGTGTTTTTATGCACTGAAGGGCCAGATTAGAAATGAGAACTGGAGCCCCCAGCAATGCTCCAGAAGAGGGAAAGCAGAGCACCACGCAAACACAGAAGATGAACCAGGACCCAACCTTTGCATCTGGAAGAGAAACTAGCCAGCATATTCAGAGCCTTTTCACACCTTACAAGAAGAGCTGAAATAGGAAACGCAGGCAACTTTTGCTTCCTGCCATATTTACCCCAAAGGAAGATGACCCTAAATGTAAAATTACCCCCAAATGCTATGCACAAAAAAGTTTTCTACTATCCATACTTGTATGCAAATGTAAGATGACCATCCCTTCCCACCCTTAATGGCACACACGACTACAGGGGAAGATGCTTCCTTTTGACCATTACACCATCTGCATTTATCGAAACATAAGCTTTTATGAACTACAACCCACTTCACTTCATCAGATGCATGAAGTGAATTATCTATCAACAGACACACACACAGAGAAAGTGAATTCATTTAAGGGATCTGAGGAACACATGAAGCTGCCTTATACTGAATCAGACCATTGGTTCATCAAGGTCAGTATTGTCTACTCAGAATGGCAGCAGGTGTCCAAGGTCTAAGGTCTGGGGATTGAACCTGGGACTTCTTGCATGCCAAGCCGATGTTCTACCACTGAGTTACAGCCACTTCCTTGGTGAAATGGGCTCCAGCTCACAAAAGCTTCTGTGTCTATAGACCTGGTAGTTTTTCAGACTCCTCCTCATTTTTGCTGTAACAGACTTAAAACATGGCTATCCCACTGGGATTTTTATCCTTCATTGATTTAACTTCCCAAGTAAAGGTGAAAGCCAAAGCTGTCATGGCTGGTGAATCAAGGCCTGCAAAGAGAAAGGGAATGATTCGTATTGTGAATTCCTGTGCTTGGAAGAGTCACTTTTATACTAAAGAATGGGAAGGGAAGTAGCCAATACTTATCTGATCCGAAGCTTGACCTTCTCAATGAAGAATACAGGAATAAAACTAGAATAACTATAGGAAATCTATATGCACACGGTTGGAACCTGCCAACACGTGCTGACCTCTTGGCTGCAGTCCAATGGATCAGTAAGAACAAAGAGTTACTTGTACAGCAGGGCTGCAAGTAAATAGCTTAAGATGTCATTTGAAAAGGCTGCTCTTCCTAGACTGGCAGGCAAGATCAGGAATAGCCTTCAACTATCTCCAGAAACTAGGCAGAAGAGGCTGCTCAACTTTACATCAGACGTTCTGAACCCAGAACTGGTCAGAGGAGACTCTGTCTAACTCTCCCACCTGTAGCCTTGCCATCCAGAAGAACGGATTGATAACTTCCTAGGAATATTTGTGGAGGGTCAAATGACTTGCTGCCTCTCCCAAGGATAGGAATTCACTGTAAGAATGCTAATTTATTTAATCAGAAGCAGGAAGACATCCTCTAGAGCATTTGGGATATGAGACAGCCGTATGTCCTTGGATGGTTGCCAGGCATAGAGTGTCTCTCGGGGAACATAACCCTTTGCAGGCCCCTCCCTCTAAAGGCTGCATCACAAGTATGGCAGCATTATAAGCGAGACGAGGCCATTCCTGTCTTTCTGTATTTTGGTGTATTAGTTTGAATTAGCATATACTATTTGGTTATTGGTCCCTTCAGCCTTTGCTCTTTTGTTGGCTGCCTAGGTGTAAAAACTAAAGCCTTGCCCTGTGGATGTGCCTTTGCCCCAATTCACATCTGTCATTCCCCGGCCTCCAAGCGCCAGGCTCCAAAGCCTAAACATTTCTGACATCGCAGCTAATAAAATATATCTGGGCAAAAGTTCATCTTATCAACTTGAGATGGGCTAGTATTTGGCAAGTCCGGTACATTTTTAATTGACTCCTCCCTTGAGTTCTATTGGCTGACAAGAGTATAAAAAGGAGGCTTCAGGCTTTGTTCGAGGCTGTTGGGCCAACATCTCACCTAGGCTTGAGTGAGGTCTCAGTCCAAAGTCCAGAAATATTCCTTGATCTTTCTGAAGTGTACACTGTATCAGGTATTGAGATTTTCTATATGCTATTGAGTACTGATATTGAATATATGCTAGAGTTTTTACTTGTGTGTGGTTTTAGAATAAATACTTATAAAGGCAACTGTCCTCTCTGTGTTTCTCTCCCTCTGGAGGCCTGAGTTCCCCAGCCAGACTCCATCCACCCATACAAAAGAACCCTATTGAGGTTGGGGATCCCAGGCAGAGGGCTAGACCCCTAAAATTCCCCTACAATTAGTCCAGAATTGGTCTAGTTTGTAATGTCTTGTAGATGAAAGAATAGCCAGCCATGCAGCTGTTCTGTAGATTTCATCCAAAGCTGCCCTCCCCCGCCAGCCAAAAGGAAATTTACTGTAATATCTTGATGGGTTGATTCCCCTACTGACTGTATGTGCTTTCTATGGATTCCTTGAGCCATGGGCTTAAAACTGTCATAGCTGAAAAGAGTTCCTGAATGCTACAAACAGAACCTCTTGTCTTTTTGAACTGAAAATTTGGTCTAATTAAAAATCAGAGAGAGTTCCTGATACCAAGCATGTACCAGTTTGGTTCTTGCTGATGAATGGGCTTTGGACAGAAAGATGATAGAACTCCCTTTTGCAGTCTTTGAAATCCAGGTTTAATCTTTGGGTATGAACAGAGTCCATTAACAGTACCATCTTGTCTTGTTAGAGATGTTGGCTCTTTATATACTTATTTTAAAACATTTATTCGCCACCTTTCTACTTTACAGAACTCAAGGCAGCGGCTTACAGTGCAAATAAAACATGAATATACAAAACACATAAAAGGCCATGAATTAAAATCACAATTTAAAGAGAAACTAAACTAATTGAATGCTGTCCTGAATAAAACCGTCTTCAGCTGCCCCCTGAAGACTGGCAGTGAAGGGGGCCAGGCGTACCTCCCTGAGGAGGTTCCATAGTTGTGGGGCTACCAGGGCAAGCCAGTTAAGCCTCCCCGGCCTTCTGTCCCTTCCAAGTTTTGGTGGAATTCCATTATAAAAGAAAGCAAAAAATGAGTTTCAGAAGCCTGAAAGGCTGCAAAACTGGCAATATGGTTGAGCCCAGAAGAGTTCAACTCGAACCCTGTTTCCTAAACCTGAGGCACAGCTGATCAGGAAGGAGAAGCCCTCTGCCGGAAGAAGCCATCAGTTCACAAGCTGGTCCTGCCTCCTCTGCCACGGAGAACAGTCTCAAGGGTTCCAGGATGCCTTTGTGCCTCTTCTGGAGAACCCCCCCCCCTTTCATTCCCAGTGCAAAGAGTCCTGTCTTAACTTGAGAGCTGAACGAAATTCTCCTTGAAGGAAAAAAGAAATCTCCTGGCCTCTCCCCTTCATTATATGACTTCCAATTCAGGGTCCAATTTAAATAAGACACACACCCCTTCCAAAAAAACCTGAAGACTACCTGCTGTATCCAGTATAAAATATTTATTAGGTGAAGAAATGTCTGCTATTAATTCAATACATCTTTAATTGTTAAGAAAGACTGGTATAATTAACTTCTTAAAACAAACATTTTTGCATTTATTTTTTTTTGCTAAGGAAGAGGGTGGTTTCAAAAGTCTGTACTTACACTGCAGAAAATAGAAAGGTTACAAAATAGAAATAATACAGAAACAGGCGTTTCAAGTCGCCATACCTAAAAAGTATGGTATGTTGTCAGTACGCACGGATAACCCATGAATTCTTATTGCACTTCAAGATGAAGTTTGTTACAAAGTAACAACATGTTACAGATATATAAACAAATATGATTAGGAATGCAAACGTTTTGATTTTCATATTAACATATTGCAAATGAAAGACAATGCTTGTGCTGGCTGCTATTAAACACCAAGAAGATGCAACTGTTTTTTTTTAAAAAAAAAAACATACCAAAGCATGTCACAGTGGCAGATTCCCACCGCACTGGGCAGGTAATGTAGCACTCCAACAATAGCAAGGAAAGTATCATCCCAGGAAAAAGGCAGAAACATTTTCCTGGGATACTTCCAGGTTCTACCGTGGCAAGCTGTGTGGACTGGCCCTTTACCATACCAGTTGGGTCACTGCCCTGGAAGGCGGCTGTTGGCCAAAGGCAAGTGAAGCTGGCAAAGCCACAGGGGCTGCTTGGCTCAAGCAGGCCAGGCTAAGCGAACCCTCCTTGCTGGCCTGATGTGACCTGTGGCCCCCGCGGGGGTGTCTCAGCTCAGCTTCCTCCTGGGCTTTTTAAACAGCACAATATTCCCTCAGATGGTATATTTGTCCCTGAGCTTTTCCACACTGTGTTTTTGACGCAGTCCAGCTTCTTCACTGCATTGGCTTCCCCTCTTCCTTACAGATTCTTTGCTGGTCCCTGAATTCCCAGGATTTTCTTTTGAGGTTTTCCCACGTTTTTTTCAAACCACCTTCCCCAAAGATGGGGAAGAGAGAGCAAGACTGGCGAATGACAAAAGGCTCTTCCGCATTCTCATTTTTGTCACTCGTTTGTCCCTATGGCTTTGCCCCCCCACCCTTCCCACCTGTGTTTTGCTCCCTCTGGGACTACTAGGAAATGTCGATGCAGCTAAGAAGCTGAGCTGCACCAAAAACCCCATGTGGAAAAGCCCCCTGTCTCCATAGTGGATCGGTAAAGAAGAAGAAGAGATTGTATTTGTACCCCGCCCTTCACTACCCAAGGGAGTCTATTCTGCATTTTAACCACTATTGGAGGATGTCCAGGCAAGTCTGCATTTTATGTCCCCCTTGGTTCCAAAGGGAGAATTAAAGCACCTCTCTTCCACTGAACTGCATGGAGCTTACGAAATGCTTAATTTGAATCAGTCACACCACTTGAAAATAGCAAATGCTGAAGAATGTTGTTGGTTCAGACTTCAGGTGCCAATATACACAACATAGTCAATGTAGCAAAAGAACATTTAGGTGTACCATACTGGTAAACGTTTGGCCTTGCTGGTTTTTTTCCTAACTACAAAATGAGCTAAGGAATCTATTTAGGAGGAGATTGGATTTACACCCCGCCCTTCACTACCCAAGGGAGTCTCAGAGCGGCTTACAAACTCCCTTCCCTTCCCCTCCCCACAACAGACACCCTGTGAGGTAGGTGGGGCTGAGAGAGCTCTGACAGAAACTGCTCTTTTTCAAGGACAGCTCTTATCAGAACTACGGCTTGCCCAAGGTCATCCAGCCAGGTGCAAGTGGAGGAGTGGGGAATCAAACCCGGTTCTCCCAGATTAGAGTCTGCGCACTGAACCACTACACCAAACTGGCTCTACCTACCTAGCACCACTGGGATATAACCACAGAAGGGACATTCACAGCTGTCATTTTTTGGAAAGGTACCACATAAAATTCCTCAGAAATTCCAGATGGTCTGATCAGCGCTTTTTGGCACTATTCTTACACCTCTAGCTAACCTTCCCCATTTTTGTCCGTTGCCTGACATAAGCAGTAAACTGATCACTCTTGGTGTCTAAGAGTGCAGACCTTGCAGGAAATCTGCTTCAGTCTTTGATGCGTAATTTTATTGGTGGCTGAGGCAGCAGTGTGAACTCTTAACATTTAAAAAGAATATAATCAAACATTCCTTTGAAAACTTACCTGACCAGAAAAGCCTAATCTTGTTCGTTATAAAAGTTAAATCTAAAAGATAAAATGGCTGTGTGGCATTTTCACAGCATCAGAGGTGTCCTGAGAATATCACACCTCTGCCATTTGGTCCCAAATAAGAGGTCCCTGCCCTCCCCAGGCTCCATCCCCAAACCTCCAGGAGTTTCCCAGCCTGGATCTGGCAACCCTACCCCCCCCCCCCCGCCGGGGGGGGGGGGACCTGGCAACCCTACTTGGAAATGAACTGAGCCTTTTACATAGTGACCTTGGAAATCCTAGAGGGCTAATTACATTTTAAAAGAAATAAAATATGGAGTATAAGGGAGCAAAACGTCAGTATGTCATACGCCTGATTTGTATGCCTATTTTTAAAAGGGCCGCTGACTCAACTGGCTGGCAATCACTTGTACTAAAAAACCACGAAGTCTTCTGGTAAGTGGAGAAACATGTCCCATTTCAAACAGAGTCCAGGTGTGATCTGGTCCTTTACCGCTTGGTAGTGCCAGTTCTCTGCCTTAGCCAGACCACTGTATCGGCCTTCCTTTGACTGCTTTGCATTCCACCTTTATGCCTTAACCTGGATGGCCCCAGGCAAGCCTGATCTTTCATTAAATTGCTGCGCCAACTTTAGTTAAACCGCTGTGTTTTATTGCTCTACTGGTTTTAATCTGTTTTACTTGATGCTTTTATACGACTGTGTTGTACACACTGCCCTGAGCCCAGTTTCACAGGGGAGGGAGACTGATAAATCCAATAAATGATAATAATAATAATAATCACAACGATCTCATCAGACCTCTGAAGCCATGCAGGGTAGGCTCTGGTTAGTACTTGGATGGGAGACCACCAAGTGTTTCCAGGGTCGCTGCACAGAGACATGCAACGGGAAACCGCCTTTGCTGTTCTCTTGCCTGGAAAACCCCCAAGGGCTGCCGTAGGTCGGCTGTGACTTGACGGCCCTTTCCACCTTGTCTACCTTTGTAACCTACCGTCTGCATCATGGCGCGGCATGCCTTAAGACGGCTGGACTGCTCTCCAGTTCTGTAATCCTAGGCCTACTGCATAGCTTACTGGAGGTCCTTGCTCTCTGATGGAATTTTTTTTTAAATTTGGAATCCGCCTGGAGTCTCAGCAAGAAAGGCAGGCTATAAATGAAGTCAAGGAAAATAAAAAATGAAGTGGCTGCTCGGGTGGCATCCCGAGGTGGCCAGCTGGCAGTGGGATGGAAGGAAGGGAGAGGCGTAGCTCCGCGTCCCAGACCTGCGCCACCGGCCAGGTCCACGTTGAGCCCCTGAGGCACGGACAGCCTCCGGTATCTGCACCGCCACTTGTCGGTTCTGAGCTGGACCCCTGCCGCACTGCTAGCACCACGGGGACTCCCCGTGCTCCTGCAGTGGGTAATGCAGCTGTTGAGGGTCACAAGGGCTGCAGTCCTAAGAACACTTTCCTGGGACTACGCCCCGGTGACTGAAATGGGAGTTACCTATTACTGGGCCTGCTGAGGACTGGTCTCACAATACCTTGAACTGGCACTTAATAGTCAAGCAGTTTCTTTATGTACCGCATCCACCTCATCCTGCCACCGAGCCAATTCACCAATGGCAGAAAATGTTCATCAGTTTTGAGGCAACAGAAAGCCGCTTCTAGACGTGGGTGTTGCTCCCACCATTTCCAGCCCCTCCCCCATCCATGCCCTCTGTGGACTGTGAGGAAGAAGGGCGGGAATTCCTAGCCCGCGAGTGACCGTTGAGTCCTATGGGAGTCCCTAATCGGTGGCTCACTTGGGATGCCGCATCGTCGGATTCCCAGCGCTCCAGCTCTTCTCGGACAAGTCTCTCCATTTGATCCCTGTGGATTTCGTTGTCATGGCCCAGCCTCTCGTCCTAGGCACAGATATAATTAACTGCGTTAGTGTTAATCAGGGGTCATTTCGTAGAAAAAGAGGTAAAGGAGCTCATTAGCATAACTTATTTGGATATGTCACACCCCCCTGACATTACCAGAAGTGTGTCAGAAGGCTAGATACATACATTGCATTGGCTCATCCCTACTCTTATGTAGGAATGCTTGAACAGCTGCTGGTTTGGTTGACATCCTGTTCACCAATTGCAAACAAGGAGCTGATAGGTTTGTCTGTTCACAGCTGTTTACTAGCGGGTTGCTTTGTTGTATTCCTTTCCAACCATGCCATACAATGCAAATGATTTTTCATGCATGCACATCCTCACAGCCTGAGTTCTACCCCCACCCCTCCCCTCCCCTCCCTGCCATCCCATCCTTACTGTGCAACTGCTCTGCTCAGCAGGCAACTCTTTAAACAGAACCCCTCCCCCAAAGCAAGGGGCATTCGGTGTTCCACTCTGGGGAAAATCCCCATGTGGAAGCAGCCCTTGAGAAGAACAGCACATTGTGGAAATTAGAAGCATCCCCTTGTCTGAGGCAAACAGAAACAGCCCTCAATGTATTGTGTTGGCTTATCGGCCTTTTTGCAGTGTGATCAGGTTTACCTCTGTGACCCCATCAAGCAGCCTCCCCAACACGTCTCTCCTCCTCAGCTTTGCTCTCTCCATTGCTTCCAGCTTCACGATGACAGCGTCTATCTTGGAAACGATGCTGCCTATGGAGTGCTCCATGCGATCCACTCGCCGCACCAACCTGGAAGCAAAACATTTGAGAAGAATGGGAAAACGCACACACTTTAACATATACTCCGCCCGGCTCAATCCCTGGAATCTTCCACCAAAAAAATTGCTACGAAACACGTCTGAATGAGACCAGGGAAAGCTGAAGCCAGTCAAGGAAGACAGGACTGAAAGCCCCTAGTACAGTGTGATGAGCGACAGTGAGCTATGAATCAGGAGTCCTGAATTCAAAGGTCACCTCTACCCCAAACTCACTATGCAGGCAAGCCTTCTCAGGCCCAGTCTGCAATATGAAGCCAACACCAATTTTATGGGGTTGCTAACCTAGCAGTTTGAAAGCAAGAAATTGCAAGTAGATAAATAGGTACCACTTCAGTGGGAAGGTAACAGCATTCCGTGCGCCTTGGCGTCTAGTCATGTCGGCAACATGACCACAGAAATGTCTTTGGACAGCGCTGTCTCTTCGGCTTGGAAATGGAGATGAGCACTGCAACCCTAGAGTCGGATTCGACTGGCTTTCGAGAAAAGGAAACCTTTACCTTTAAGAACTACGACAACATAATACATGTGAACTGTTTTGAATGCTCTAAAGCACCACATAACTTCAGCATATTATGATTCTACCCAACGGGTTATCTGGTTGGCAAAGACATCATAGAGTTTGACAGTAAAGTTAAATTAAATGCTTTCAAAGAGCTGTAGCATTTCTAATGGAGTTCTATGCAAAAAAACCAGCATGTTTTTTTTGGGGGGGGGGGGGGGAACAGAACACTGCACACACACTCATGTGCACAAACACATTCCATAGTACTCAGCAGCGTCAGCCACACATCTTTTCATCATTAGGCTTCGTTACCACTGGTGCACACAAAAAAGGTGCCTCTGAGAAACCCGGCCATGGGTTCAACTGCTTCCTGCCCATCCTGTAGTTCTAAAATGGAATATACGAGAGCCTTGATTTCTATGTATCTAAGGACAGTGAAGGCAGCTTGCTGTGCTTTATGGACATTATGCATCACGAAGAATGCCTTATGTCTCAGGGGAGAAACAGTCTAGATGAGTGAGAATGGCATGGCAGAGCCTACTAATACGGAAGGGCAGCAACTGATCACCTGTGTTCCATCAGCCCTTCCAGGGTCCCACTCAGCAGGCATGGGCATTCATCGACAGCTGCCACCTCATCTACTTGTTGCGTACTACACCTACTTGTTGTAGTATGTTGCATGCTACCGCAGATTAGAGAGCAGCCATGATAACATTTTGATTTTCTTCCAGCAAGACAATCCCCACATTGTGGAGATAAACCACAATCCTGCTGGGTCAGTTACCGTATGGCTCATTTTTATTATGCACCCGTACTCCTTTGCATTCCCCCCCCGCACTTTATTTTGTTAGGTTCTCAACATTTATCCTCATGCTTGTTTTAAACAGGGCTCCCTGAAAATAATATTCAGTCTTATGGAACAAGCAAACACTATCTAAATCAAGAACGGGCAGAAGACAGAGTGTCACCCACAGGGAGACGGCTGGCCAACTTCTGGCCACCTATCACTGGATTCTTGCTACAGACACTAAATTAGGTGGACCTTCCTCTGATCCAGCAAGACACCTTCTTACCTTCTTACGTAAGGGTGACGATGCAGACACATTATGCCTCGCCCTGAGTATGCAGTCTTGCTTTGCAAATGTCATACAAAACGCTGGACCTGGTTGATTTTGATATTTAAGAAAAGCAGAAATCAACACAGATCAGTCCTCTTCTGACCTAACCGATACGTCCTGTAACTAGGAGGGAGGGGAAGGGAAGGAAACAGCCCAGCCCTCGACCACTGCTTACACTTGAAACTCTTCGTATGAGACCCCACTGGAGCTGCTGCCTCTTCTTCTTGAGCTGTGCCCACTGTCATCGTCGTCATCCTCTTCTGAGTCATCGAGGCTCCGTGGGAAGCTGCGGCCACTCAGGGGGCGTTTCAGAGAGCTTCGGTCTAGCTCCAGGTCCTCCTTGGTGCAAATAAACCAGGATGTTAGGCTTCCAGGGGAGGGACACGGGGGTCAGAAACACGCAAGCTCTGCTCGCTCTCTCTCTTGCCCCAAACCCATTACAACCAAGGGCTTCTGGGAACTGTAAAGTTACTTTCTCATGCGTTATTCTTCGACCTTTCCTAGACTACTTTTCTAGGTACTCTGTGCTTTATTGCTCTTATCTTCTTTATTCTTAAAATAAGGAAGTAAAATTCATGGCTTGGCAAGACCTTCCCCCTGTCTAAACCCAACACCTGTATAGTCCTGCTTGTAAATAAGGAGCAGTGGAAATACAGTGTGCAAATTGAGCAAACAGGATTTGGACAGAGCAGCACCCCAAAGACAAAGTTAGTAATTATGGGTTTACCAGCCACAATTACTTCTTGAGCCTCTGTGGACATAGCAGCTAATATAGTCAAAAATAATCTCTATTTCCGTTGAAGACATGTAAGCCACAGCTCACCCTCTCTTTCTCCAAGTCATCTCTCATTTGCTGGTGCTCCAGCTCTGTCAATTCCTGATCCCCGTCCTGGTCATATTTTGTAAAGATGGCTTCAATCTCTGCATCGGTGTGCCCTTTCCTAAGGAAAATAATGTATAACCCCTCTTTAGTTTTAATCTAACTGCCTCTAATATATGAACAAGAAGTTGCCAAAAGAAACCATGGGAGAGGACTTCAAGAACAGGACACATACTCATTTTAAACCAGTTACTCCTGATGACACCTAGGCCACGGCTGGGTTGTTGAGCTGTGCATCTTCACCCTCTCTCACGTTGGAGTGAGCGACTCAGCGTGCCTCGACACTGGGAAGTGCTACATCACTCTAAGGTCCTTTCTGCACTAGACCTTAAATCCTGGCTCAACCCTGGGCCCCGAACGTACATTCTACACTACACTCGAGTTCACCCCTGTAATTATCTCAGGGTATTTTTTGTTTCCACATTACATTGAGGTCAACCCAGTTTCGCACCACGCTTGTCCCGGGATAAACGGATGCTGTTATAACCAGGGATAAATGCAAAGTACTTTGTGTCGCGAGTTGAACTCTGGTAAAACCAAGGATGAGATCCAAGTGCGGAAAGGACCTAAGTGCGTATAAGTGTTATCTCTTGAATGGGATGTCTCTGTCTTAACCTAGGAGCTACCTTCTGACCCCTCCCCCCCCTCTGTGTGCTTTGTTCTCCCCCATTCTTCACATGGATCTTCATGGAGTCACATTTCTCTACAGGCCTCTCCTGCAGAAGCAGTGCCCTCATACTGCAATTACACGTGGTGCCAGATTTAGCTGGCCATTTGTGATCGGGAAAGCGCTCTTTAGGCTAGGTTTCTCTTTTTCCTTTTGACTGCAACCTGAATGTGAGCTGGATCTACTTGGAAGACATGTAAATTTTACTTTTGCAATATATTTCTTTGGAGATTTATTTACTGCACTCAATATCACGCTTCTGTAACTGGGCAAAACTCTGCTATATTAACCAAATTTCCCAGTATCTCACATCTATTTCAATTTTGGAAATGCCCTGTAGCTTCAGGGTACTGGCACCGCCACAGGCACTTGTATGGTATCCAAAAACAGAAATCTCAAAACATGCTGAAGCATCCTCTGCGGTCCACTCGCCAGCAGTGTTCTTAAAATGGGGCCACTGAGAGCCTCATTTGGGCAGAGTGCTTTCTGTGCCCAGGAACAGAGAGGAAATCTGTTCAGACTTAACTTACCCCTTCAGATCCTGCCGCAGTTCATCAAAGTTTAATTTGCCTCCACTTTGCCGCAGGCTCTCCGAAATGTCGTCAACAGGTGTTTTTTTCAATTTTAGCTTCACCATGGCTTTGGTGTATCCCTTAAAGGGGGAACAATAAACATCTCTATTCAGTGGATATTCAGTCTTGCTGTTGATACATTTATGAGCATTTCTATCCCGCCACTCTGCTGAATACCATTGGCCCTCAGGGAGGCTAATGACACAAATGAAATAAAACAATACATTCTCCTTCTCGTATGTAAAAAAAACCTTGCAGCTTCTGCAGGAATGTTAAAGAAGGTACCCGCATCTGCTCCCAGGGTAGCATGTACATGAAGCCTATCAGATATGCTTGCGTGGACACAGGGGAAACACGTTGTTGACTGATAACCTGCAGCAATCTCAGCTTCCCAGCTTGGCCACCCTTGTGGCTTGCAATGCATAACAGATCCGCCTGGTGCTAATCTACAGTTGGGACCCTACGCTGTTTTGTGTATGTCAGCAACAACCTTAGTCTGCGAATGTTACGTTTTCTAGTAATCCCATGGAACTGAAAGGGTCAAGTTATGCTAAAAGTGCATTTGCCTCCCAGTAATTTAGACATTACTGAGCTAGGTTAGCACTGTGTGCCACTCTACCTGGTGACTTTCCCAGCCTCCACTACATGACCTCTGGATGCAGCACTACCAGGGAAAGCTGATGCGCCTTGCTTCCTCCCACTTGCCCGCATTCCTCACGGAACAGGACTGGCATGGCACTTGGGCACAGCCTCATAAGAGTTATTTCCTCACTGAAAGGATGGATTTGATGCAAGAAATTCTAGAAATTATCAAGACAGCAAGACTAAAACTAAGGCCACAGGGATATCTGGCTTAAGCAGCACAGGGCAGGTTCTTACCTTTTTGATCAGATCAGACAGTTCCATCTCAGACTTCTGCTGTGCCATATCTGATTTGACTTCTGAGTAGGTATCATTGATAATGGCCAGAAACATGTTCTGTTTAAGACACAAAAATTCAAAAAGCAAAATGTCTGATGGTGTGTTCGAACTTCTACAGCTATTTTTGGAAAAACGGAAGAAGTGGGGAGAGGGGACCCTGGCCAAGGGGCAATCCTAAGCAGGTACACTCAGAAAATAAGTTCCAGTTTAGACAGTGGAGCTTAATCCCAGGAACGGGTTCTTAGGACTGCAGCCGGAAGATCTTAGTTCGAGGACAAGAATCACAACGGCTCTATTGATTAGTTAGCAGCTCTGGATACAAGGCACCTTCTACTTCATCCTCTCAAACCTATTTAGTTCTAAGAACACTTTCATGGGAGTAAGATCCATCAAATAAAATGGACTTACTTTGCAGTAGACCAGCTTTGACTTGTTCTATATATTTACCTTATCAGGATGTTCTAAATAAAACTGGGTCATAGCCAACCTCTGGGGACAAAATGGCAGAAACACAGGAAACAACGTGGGGCTCAGGGCTGGTGGTTATTCTCTTTTCTCAGACACATTAATTCTGTGCTTTACCTGCAGCTGCCCCCGCAATGGGGAAACCACACAAGTTCTCCCTGTATACAAACTTTTTTCGAATGGAAGACAGCATGTGTTGCAGACTTAACTGGATTGTGTGGTGCTGTGTGTTGACCAATGCTCCCTCTAAGCCGTGGACTCCTGTGAGCAAAAATTCTACTTTGTGAGCTGCTAGCATTAAAGTTGTGAGCAAGCAATTTGGCTGCTGCATAAATTAGTTTGCTCTGGAGCCCTCCTTCCTGAGCTAAGACAAAAATGTGTGAGCCGGAGACTAAAAAACTGAGCGAGCTCACACTAGCTCACCTTAGAGGGAACACTGGTGTTGACAGACTGCAAGATGCATTAAAGCCTTCTGGGATAAAGGGGCAAATGGCAATCTGCCACCATCCTATTTTTCCTGGTGGTGAAAACAGAAGGCTTCTTCACGTGTTCTAACAACTGCATAAACCCTTCTGCTCCTACACCCAAGGGTTTGTATCCCAAGGATTGTGTGGCAAGGGTCCAACAGGTTTAATTTCCAACTGTCCTGAGAAACCAGAGTCTAACATTGTAAGCCCATTTGGGAAAATGTATCTGTTAAGCAAAAATGATACTGGCCTAGTCTAAGGCCCTGGCATAGGGAAGACAAACCAAAATAAATAAAATTAAATGTGATATGAAAACGACAAGCAACTAAAAATTTCCATAAATAAATGTTCACATACCAAAAGAATGAAGAACATAAAGAACACAAACGTAGTGAAATAAATGGGTCCCAAAACTCTGTTTGCTTCTTCAACCTCTGTAAAGTCAAAATCTCCCAAGAGGATGCGGAACTGAGCAAAGCTTTAAAAAGAACAACACAGTTTAAGCCAGTCATTGTCATAGAACTGAAGTCCTCTTTGGATTCTGGCAGTGGTCTATGTTCTTTCAGTGTATTTGGAATACTTCTTTGCTCACTGCCTGGAAGCCACTGCACTGACAAACCCCCCAAATTATAGCTACTGTGCAAGTAGATCTGATTCATGACTTCTTATATAGCCTAAGAGTTTCTTCTTAAAACAGGATTTAAACTCGCATTATGATATCAACTCAGATTATTACTGCATTAAAACATTCCCCCCCAATATACGCGCACCATTTATTAAAAATACTATCTGCGGAATATTAGGTATGATGAAGCTGGCAAAAGATGATTTCATGGATGCTTTGGCATGCCACAGCCAATTCCTTTGAAAAGAGGGATGAGTCACACAGTGATGAACCGAGAGATCGCAACTTGGCTGAATCCACCATTTTATGTACTCCTTCAGTACTGAAATATGTGTGTATGTGCAGTCAAGTTGCAACCAACTTATGGTGACCCTATCAAGGGCTTTCAATGCAAGTGAGAAGCAGAGTTGGTTTGCCATGGCCTTCCTCTGCAGAGCCTTCTCTAGTGATCTCCCATCCAAGTACCAACCCTGCTTAGCTTCTGAGATCTGATGAGACCAGACTATACCACGCCACCTTCCCTCCTTCAATCCTGAAATACCACTCTACAACTGCCTGATTTTTTCCCTCCACGACAGCTACATTTCCTCAGTTCAAGGGATATGGAGGCAGCTCCCAGACAACACAATGCCTTGACAGACTGTCACTATCTCTCTTCCTTCTGCACCTGCACATTCTGTCCCTGGATTCGGCCATACCAGCTCACTTTCTCCACTGCTGTGCGGCTACACTTTAGCCCTAAAATCACTGGCTGTTTTTTCCATCATCCTGAAAGGGGACAGGAAGTGCTCTGTCACTCGAGTCAGCAACTTCAAGCTAGCTTCCTCCCTCCTGCAGCCTTGAAAGCTATTCAGGTTCTTCATTCCCCACAGGTTTAAATCTCTGCACACAGGATAGCAGTGGGAATGACAGCCAGGAGGAAAGCATCCTGAATTTGGCTCCTTACATTATTTGGCAGTAGACTTTGGATCAAACCTACTTTTGCATTAATTCAAGGAAATGAAACCCTCAAATGTCCAGCCACACCCCGAATTCACTAAATTGGTTGGAATTTTGAGCTATGAATTTGGTGCAAGTTTAGTGGTGATTCACTAATGCCTTTTAAGCATTATTTTGATTTGATTGTGGTACTTACACGCTGTCCTGGAAGGTACTGAAGTCATCGACTTGCGTGCCAAACACAAGGTAAGCAAGCTGAGCATAGGCTATGAAAATGATGAAAAACATAATGGCAAAACCAAGCACATCTTTGGCACATCGTGACATAGTGGTAGATAGTTGGCTCATTGTCCGGTTGAAGCTGATAAATTTGAAGAGCTGTTAAAGAAGGTGAAAAACAAATATTCAAAAGATGGATAATTCAGAGGGAGAAGAAAACATTGTCTAGGAGAATAACAGTGCTGAGGTCTCGGCACCTTAATGAGCTATGAGAGGTGGAATGTCAGAATGCAGCAACCGGTATATAGGCAGTGTCATCCTAAGCAGAGTTGCACCCTTCTAAGCTCAATGATCCAATGGTTTTGGACTAGGATTGCGAAATCTGGATCGTCCGGGAGTGGGGGGCTCCCGGACGATCCCGGGTGCGCACGCGCAGCGTGCACGTCACCCGGAAGTGACGTCGCACGCTGGGGGCGGGGCCACGCGATTTGAGGGGAAAACAAAGAGTTTTCCCCTCAAATGGCTGCCATTTGAGGGGAAAACTCTTTGTTTTCCCCTCAAATCGCGTGGCCCCGCCCCCAGCGTGCGACGTCACTTCC